TCTGCAAACTTCTGCCTTATTCTAACCTTTCCTTACCCTTTCCATTCGCCACATGCTTGCGCCACGCGTGCCTGCTCAACCCCAGGCCAGCCTTTGTCTTCCTACAAGCCTTGCACTCCCCACATGCTACTTTGCAGCCCTCATCGCGCGTGCCAATCGTGTCTGTCCGACGCTTGGTGCGTCTTTCTCTTGCCTTCACGCGCTTATGCCATTCGTGTCTGCCCGACACTCGGTTGCTCTTTGTCTTGGATTCCCCACCTTGGCCGGATAAACGCCACAAGGTGTGAGGCTGTGTCCAGCTTGTGCAGGTGCTTCTAGCACTCATGTCTGCTCTGCTCGGTACTTGCAGTACGTGCCATGCAGGTCTGCCCGCCACTTATTATGTCCTTCTCTTGCCTTTCCCACGAGCTTCTGCCATCTGTGTCTGCGCAAAGTCTCATGCGCGTTGCCCCAGCACGCCATTAGTCCTTCTCTTCCCCTCGCTTCCATGTGCGCCGTATACAACATTCCCTCACGCACTCACACTGAGCCCGCTCCTCAATGTAGGACGTGGCCCAGCACCTTGGCCGGAAAAACAACTGTGCGTGGCTGTGTCCAGCTCGTGCAGGTGCTTCAAGCATTCATGTCTGCGCCACACTTGGCGACCCCCACAAACTTCTTCCTTGGCCTAGCCTTTTCTGGCCCTTTGAGTTCCCCACATGCTTGCGCCACGCGTGCCTGCCCGACGCTTGGCTGGCCTTTGCCTTCCTACAAGCCTGGCAGTCCCCGCGCGCTAACTTGCAGCCCGCTGCGCGCGTGCCAATCGTGTCTGCCCGGCGCTTGGTGCGTCTTTCTCTTGCCTTCCCCGCAAGCTTGTGCCCTCTGTATCCACCCAACGTCTTATTCGTGTCGCCCCAATTTCACACTTGCTTTGCGTTCCCCACGTGCGGCTGCCACTCGTGCCTATGGGCTGCTTGCGCTGTCCTCTGCACCCTTCCTTTACAGTCTCCACAGACTTGTCTCGCAGTCTACGCGGAACATGATTGATTGGTTGGGGTTTCTCTTCCCCTGCGCCTTCCTATACACTACAGATTCGCCAGTTGCTTGTGGCGTTCGTGTCTGCAAACTTCTGCCTTGTTCTAACCTTTCCTTGCCCTTTCCATTCGCCACATGCTTGCGCCACGCGTGCCTGCTCAACCCCAGGCCAGCCTTTATCTTCCTACAAGCCTTGCACTCCCCACGCGCTACTTTGCAGCCCTCATGGCGCGTGCCATCGTGTCTGTCCGACGCTTGGTGCGTCTTTCTCTTGCCTTCACGCGCTTATGCCATTCGTGTCTGCCCGACACTCGGTTGCTCTTTGTCTTGGATTCCCCACCTTGGCCGGATAAACGCCACAAGGTGTGAGGCTGTGTGCAGCTTGTGCAGGTGCTGCTGGCACTCATGTCTGCTCTGCTCGGTACTTGCAGCCCCCACCGTACGTGCCATGCGTGTCTGCCCGCCACTTATTATGTCCTTCTCTTGCCTTTCCTACGAGCTTCTGCCATCTGTGTCTGCGCAAAGTCTCATGCGCGTTGCCCCAGCACGTCATTAGTTCTTCTCTTCCCCTCGCTTCCATGTGCGCCGTATACAACATTCCCTCACGCACTCACACTGCATGTCTGCTCGGCTCGATACTTGCAGCCCCCACCGTACGTGCCATGCGTGTCTGCCCGCCACTTATTATGTCCTTCTCTTGCCTTTCCCACGAGCTTCTGCCATCTGTGTCTGCGCAAAGTCTCATGCGCCCTTGCCCAAGCACGTCATTAGTTCTTCTCTTCCCCTCGCTTCCATATGCGCCGTATACAACATTCCCTCACGCACTCACACTGAGCCCGCTCCTCAATGTAGGACGTGGCCCAGCACCTTGGCCGGATAAACAACTGTGCGTGGCTGTATCCAGCTCGTGCAGGTGCTTCAAGCATTCATGTCTGCGCCACACTTGGCGACCCCCACAAACTTCTTCCTTGGCCTAACCTTTTCTTAGCCTTCGCGTTCCCCACATGCTTGCGCCACGCGTGCTTGCCCGACGCTTGGCTGGCCTTTGTCTTTCTACAAACCTTGCATTCCCCGCGTGCTAACTTGCAGCCCCCTGCGCACGTGCCAGCAGTCACACTGAGAAATCTCATGACCTGCGCCCAGTACCACACAGCGCAGAACAATTTCTGGCGGCATCTCTCAGCAGCCAGCTGCACGCGCACCTGAAACCATGCAGGGCGGTAGCCAAATGATGCTCGGGCACCAGGTCTCCAGCTGCCATCTCCTTGTCCCACTGTTTCGCTAAAAACACTGACAGCGCGCTCCAACACGCCCCAACTCAATCCAGCCATTCCCTTTAGCCCCGTGGTTCAGCCAAAATCATCTCCTTCGGCCTTCAAACCAAAGGGATTCCAGCTGCCATCGCCCTGTCCCGCTGTCAGAATGGAGAGCGAACGGAGCGCTCCAGCGCGCCCCAACACAATCCAAGCATTCCATTCGCCTTAGCCCCGTCGCTCAGCCAAATCCACCTTCGACCAAAGGCAACACGAGCCGATGCTCGGGCACCAGGCTTCCAGCTGCCATCCCCTTGTCCCACTGTCAGAATGGAAGGACAGACAGAGCACTCCAGCGCGTCCCGATTCAATCCAACCAGTCGCCTTAGCCCCGTCGTTCGGCCAAAGTCACCTCCTGCGGCCTTCAACCACACGCGCCACACGCCAAGACAGCACGAGCTGACGCTCGGCCACCAGGCTTCCAACTACCCTCTCCCTGTCCCACTGTCAGACTAGGAAAGACGTGGCGAAACGCTGTCCCACTGACTCACTCACTCACTCACTCACTCACTCACTCACTCACTCACTCACTCACTCACTCACTCACTCACTCACTCACTCACTCACTCACTCACTCACTCAGTCACTCACTCACTCACTCACTCACTCACTCACTCACTCACTCACTCACTCACTCACTCACTCACTCACTCACTCACTCACTCACTCACTCACTCACTCACTCACTCACTCACTCAATCTCTAACTCACTCACTCATTCACTCCCTCGCTCACTCGCTCGCTAGCTCGCTCGCTCGCTAAACGAACCACCGACCCCGTAAGATTACAACAAACTTCTTCGCGGTACGACCACAACCAACCAACCAACCAACCAAACGAACAAAGACCAAAACAAACAACTGATCAAACACTGCAAGGCACCAAGCGCGCAATTTAGGCTTTCTGGACCCCGGAAAATTCTGGATGTATGGGACCCGGAAAATTTGGAATTGATGGGATCCGGAAAATTTGGGATTTATGGGGCCTGGAAATTTTGGGCTCCTCGTCTGATCTCCTCGTCTTCTCTCCTCAGCCCGTTTTCTCTCCTCGTCTTCTCATCTCGTCTTCTTTCCTCGTCTTCCCTTCTCGTCTTGTCCCCCTCTCCTCGTCTTTCCGTCTTCCCAACTCGTCTTCTCTCCTCGTCTTCTCTTCCCGTCTCTTCACCTCGTCTTTTCTCCTCGACTTCTCCCCTCGTCTTCTCTCCTCGTCTTCTCTCCTGGTCTTCTCTTCCCGTTTTTTCTCCTCGTCTCCTTTTCTCGTCTTCTCTCCGCGTCTTCTCTTCACGTCTTCCCTTCTCGTGTTCTCTCCTCGTCTTCTGTCTTCTCTCCTCATCTTCTCTTCTCGTCTTCTCTTCTTATCTTCTTTCCTTGTCTTCTTTAATAAACTTTCATGAGACTTGGTTGTTCCAACCTGGGGTTGCTCCATCTTTTGTCTTAAACAGGGGCGGCCAATTGTGACTCCATGTTGTGTTACGAGAGCGGGGGGTTCCCGGAAATGTCCACTCCTTTTTTGCTTTCAAACTGTTGGCCACATAGCAAGCACACCCGTTTAACTGAGCCCACTCAGCACTGCACACACGCCAGCCACATGGTAAGCACACCTGCTCACGCGCGCCCGCGCAACACTGCACACACGCCAGCCACATCGTAAGCACCTCCGTTTAACTGAGCCCGCCCAACACTGCGCACACGCCAGCCACGTGGCTAGCACGCACAATCACGCGCGCCCGTACAGCAACGCGTGCCGCATTCAGAAAACTGGCACAGGACTGCAGCGCCTCCGTTTAACTGAGCCCGCCCAGCACTGCGCACACGCCAGCCACGTGGCTGGCACGCACAATCACGCGCGCCCGTTCAGCAACGTGCGCCGTATTCAGAAAACTGGCACAGGACTGCAGCGCCAGAATGATTTCGATCGATTTCTTGCAAATCTGAAGTCGTGAAAACAAACCGCCTGTACGACGGGGCCAACGACAATGACACTCGAGCAAACAGTTGCACGCGCATTCCAAGCAAAACACCTCAAAACAACGACCCCTGAAGCGCAAATCGCACTGCCGCAACAGCGACGCTGTCTACCCGCACAAAACATTGCGCCTGCGCTGCAAAACAACATCTGACATGCTACGAGCTACAATTCCCGCACAGGGGCGCGAAAAATGACACGCTTCAAGTCATCCAAATAGCACGTTTTTCGCCTTCCCCATTGGCACGGCAACCGCGACACTTGCAAACACCCATGCACGCATACATGCGTGCAGGCGAACATGCATACCTGGATCTTCCGAGGGTACGTAATTTCTGCCCTTTGGCCAAACTGCAGAAGTTAGTGCCGTTTCAACAAATTTCAGCCGTTTCAATCAAAAATTGCCGTTTGGCGAATTTCCTGAGGTTTCCTTCAATGTTGACAGAGCTTTATTATATCCCAAGTTAGCGCGGCAAATGCGCCTGGAGGAGTGTGAAGGGTACGGCAGCTACGGTTCCCAGATTGTAAAATCACAACAAAAAGCTTGGGCTAAAGCCTGCTACTGCTGCCTGTTCCGCAGCATCGGCTGAGTTTCCTCCACCTCGGCATTCACCCAGCGCTTCTCTCTGCACTCTGCGGCTGTGTGGTTCCCTCCACACACCCGGCCCGTGCGAGAGAGAATGGCACACTGGTGCCTGCGGCCACCTCCTCCGACTGGGCACATGCCCCGGATTGCCACAGCGCACACGCAGTGCCCCATCACGGAGCGTGGGCGACACCTTCTTGCCCTTGATGGCGCTGGGCATCTCCACATGCGACCCCCGCCTACGCCCACTGGCCTGGCGCACTGCAGTGGTGCTCTGGCGCTGCTTCAACATCACCAGGCGCTTCTTGATGTCCGCCTTCTCCGCTGGCGAGCTCCATAAGGCCGCACTGTCCTGAGCAACTGCGGCGCCAACCGCCTTCTCCGCCGCCGGCAGCACCGCCTCCACTGCCTCCGGCGGGATCACCTCCCAGGCATCAAACGCCTGTAGGGCATGGGCAATGACAAGGACTTTGTGCTTGGTGCGCAAGGAAAGGGCGTACCTCGCCGCAATCTGCCCCCAGGGCCAGCTACAGGCGAAAACAGCAGGGATGCAGAAGTCGAACCCCTGCCTGTTCTGCCGTTGTTTGCCTCTGGAGCACCGTCCGTGAAAAGTGGAGTGGCTCAACCGCCTGGGCCATGACCTCATGACGTGCGCGTAGCAAAGAACTCCGGTGGCTGTCAGCCACCAGCCCAGCAGGGCTGACCATACTGGGTCATTGGCCCTGTACTTGGACACGATCATGTCCTCCAGCATGGGGAGCATGGGCGGCTCCGCCACTGCAGCCTGCCAGGCAGATTCCTGAGCCTGGGCTGCTTCGCCGAGAGCTGGATCGCCCCCAGGTCCAACGGCAGCTTGGACTGCTTCGCCAAGCACTTCAATGATGCCATAGCCCTTGCCGGTGCTGAAGTTCTGTACTGAAAGAAAGTCGACATCCACATGCTGGGGAGGGAGAGGACAACCCCTTCCTTCCATGTGCGTGCGCACCTCAGCCCGGGTCTTGAGGGCATTGATGACGGCTGCCCTCTCCGAGAAGGTGAGCAGATGCTGCGCTCGCCGCCTGCATGAAGCTTCCCACTCCCCCTTGAGGGCCGGGGTCAACAGCAAGATGGTCCGGCTGCACGGCCAGCGGGGCCGGGGCTCGCCGCCCCTTTCTGGGATTGAGGGCCAGCATGCGGCCCAGCTACAGCCGCCGGCATCAGCCGCTCGTATGCCTGGCCGGCCACTTCCAGCCATGCTTCGGCCAGCGCTGTGCCCCCCTCGGCATAGGCGTCCTCCTCAGACAGGAACATGAAGGCGAAGTCATCATCCCGCTCCAAACCACGCGCATTCCTCCATGCGCGCACGTGCAAAATGGGGGGCAGCCCCGGAACCTCGAAACCGTCCCCCGGACGAACATGCACCACCATCCCCGCCGACTGCCACAGCCGAAGAGCGGCGACCCGCTGTAGACAGCATCCGGCACTCCGTGTGCACCGCCACATCAATGCCAGGACGCAACAGGGGCATGTTGAACTTAGTTAACTCAAAATTGCCAGTTTTGGCTCAAGGCCACTTTTGAGTCCCAAAATGGCAAGACATCAAGGAATGATCAATGCATACCCAAGCCTACCAAACTCAATGCATTCATAGCAACACGTGTTAGTTTGGTTCCCTCACGTTTCCTCGTTTCACACTTGCTTCCAACCTTCTTAGCTTGGATGCAAACCAGCCTGAACTGGATTGGCCTTCTGTTCTAAAGTGCCTTTAGCCACTATGCAAGAAATGCCCTTCAGCACTGCGCACACGCCAGCCACGTGGCTAGCACGCACAATCACGCGCGCCCGTACAGCAACGCGCGCCGCATTCAGAAAACTGGCACAGGACTGCAGCGCCTCCGTTTAACTGAGCCCGCCCAGCACTGCGCACACGCCAGCCACGTGGCTGGCACGCACAATCACGCAGCAACGCGCGCCGCATTCAGAAAACTGGCACAGGACTGCAGCGCCAGAATAATTTTGATCGATTTCTTGCACATCTGAAGTCGTGAAAACAAACCGCCTGTACGACGGGGCCAACGACAATAACACTCGAGCAAACAGTTGCACGCATTCCAAGCAAAACACCTCAAAACAACGACCCCTGAAGCGCAAATCGCACTGCCGCAACAGCGACGCTGTCTACCCGCACAAAACACTGCGCCTGCGCTGCAAAACAACATCTGACATGCTACGAGCTACAATTCCCGCACAGGGGCACGAAAAATGACACGCTTCAAGTCATCCAAATAGCACGTTTTTCGCCTTCCCCATTGGCACGGCAACCGCGACACTCGCGAACACCCATGCACGCGTACATGCGTGCAGGCGAACATGCATATAGGCATGAACGCGTACAGGCGTACACGCGTACCAAATCCCCTACCAAACCCAAAGCCCCACCATTTTGGCAGCTCCTGAAAACAAACAAACCACCAGGCCCCGTAAGATTACAACAGACTTCTTCACGGTACGACCACATCCAACCAACCAACCAACCAAACAAACAAAGAACAAAACGAACAACTAAACAAACACTGCAAAGAACTAAGCGCGCAATTTAGGATTTCTGAAGCCCGGAAAATTCTGGATGTGTGGGACCCGGAAAATTTGGGATTGATGGAACCCGGAAAATTTGAGATTTCTGGGACCCGGAAATTTTGGACTTTCTGGGGCCCGGAAAATTCTGGATGTATGGGACCCGGTAAATTTGGGATTGATGGGACCCGGAAGATTTGGGATTTATGGGAACCGAAAATTTTGGACTTTCTGGGGCCCGGAAAATTCTGGATGTATGGGACCCGGAAATTTGGGAATGATGGGACCCAAAAGATCTGGGGGCCTGCTTCAAAGTGCGCCGGACCTCTTGCCTCTCCAGGTGGCACCTGCGTTAGCTCTTGCATCGGCAGGAGTCCCCTGTGGGGGCATCCCTCAACTCCCCTAAGGGGAAGCGAGTGCCGATGCAGAGAGAGCAACGTCAGGAGCCACTTAGAGAGGCAAGAGCTCCGACACACTTTGAAGCAGGCTTTGATCCAAGTTGAAGCAGGCTTTGATCCAGCGGACCAATTCCTGCGCTCTGAAACACTTGTCAGCTAGCAATCTACTAGTGTCTGAGGGAAGAAACAAAAGTCAATTCATCTCACCACCAACAAAGCATCAAGCAAAGAATAGCCATGCAGCCAAACAGAGCCCGGGCATCCACCCAAAAGGTGCCAGCTGGCAATCTACTGGTGTCTGAGGGAAGAAACAAAATCAATTACGCTAACCACCAACAAAGCATCAAGCAAAGCATAGCCATGCAGCCAAACAGAGCCCGGGCATCCACCCAAAAGGTGCGAATGATCTGGGGGCCTGCTTCAAAGTGTGCCGGAGCTCTTGCCTCTCCAGGTGGTATCTGCGTTAGCTCTTGCATCGGCAGGAGTCCCCTGTGGGGGCATCCCTCAACTCCCCTAAGGGGAAGCGAGTGCCGATGCAGAGAGAGCAACATCAGGAGCCACTGAAAGGGGCAAGAACTCCGGCACACTCTGAAACAGCCTTTGATCCAGCGGACCTATTCCTGCGCTCTGAAACACTTGTCAGCTAGCAATCTACTTGTGTCTGAGGGAAGAAACAAAAGTCGATTGCGCTGGCCACCAACAAAGCATCAAGCAAAGCATAACCATACAGCCAAACAGAGCCCGGGCATCCACCCAAAGGGTGCGAAAGATCTGGGGGCGCTAACCACCAACAAAGCATCAAGCAAAGCATAGCCATGCAGCCAAACAGAGCCCGGGCATCCACCCAAAAGTTGCAAAAGATCTGGGGGCCTGCTTCAAAGTGTGCCGGACCTCTTGCCTCTCCAGGTGGCACCTGCGTTAGCTCTTGCATCGGCAGGAGTCCCCTGTGGGGGCATCCCTCAACTCCCCTAAGGGGAAGCGAGTGCCGATGCAGAGAGAGCAACGTCAGGAGCCACTTAGAGAGGCAAGAACTCCGACACACTTTGAAGCAGGCTTTGATCCAGCGGACCTATTCCTGCGCTCTGAAACACTTGTCAGCTAGCAATCTACTGGTGTCTGAGGGAAGAAACAAAAGTCAATTGCGCTGGCCACCAACAAAGCATCAAGCAAAGCATAGCCATGCAGCCGAACAGAAAAGTGTCAAAACATAACGCGGGTCGGCGGCACTGGGCGGCAGCCCTTAAATTTGATAGAACACTCGCAAACACGAAGAAAATAACGCCAAACACCAGGGCAGTTGTACGCCAAAAGTCGATGCCAGGCCTCCTGCTTTAGTCGAGCAGCTTTCTTCTCCTGGTTGCACACCATGGCAAAAGCATTATGATGCGTGCTCAAGTTGGAGCATCAGTTGCATGCCTGCTTTCTTCTTGCAGCCTCCTCCTGCGCATGACTTCTGTACTCGCAGAAAAGGCTTCACTGGAGCGTGGGCTCTTTTTTCTTGCTGGCAGAAGGCTCTCAGGTTCCAGGGTGTACGGGCAATGCGAATTGGCACGCACAGATTCACGCAGCGTCTGGTCCCAAATGTGCCAAGAGCTGAAAGTACAATCCGAAGAAAGCTACCAGCGCAAAGCCGAGATTTGGACCGCTTGCAGAACCAAAGTCATGGGCCCGAAGACATACAGCGCTTGTAAAGCCGTCCAATGGGGTATGGAACGAACCCTCAATTGAGATGGACACACCACCACCATGTACAACTGTGACAGCAAGACGTGCATCGCAGGTACGAGTTCCGCTGGCCAACAACAACTTTCAAACGTGCAGCGGCTCGCATGCAATGACACTCAGCCATAGCATTGTCAAGCTGAAGCCACTGCTTACAAATGTCTCAAAATCAAAATCTTTCACCAAGAGGAATTACCCAAACCGCGCAAGCACGCGCACCGATGTGCCATTGTAGCAACAGCCCTAGGCCTCATAGGGCTTGCCTCAAGATAGGGAATCAACCACCAAGCCAGCCAGCCAGCCAGCCTGACCAACAAAAGGGAAAGCCTAAGCAACAAACACGCGAAGCACGCTAGCCGTCAGCTCGATTAAAGTTGATGGGCCTGCTTTTGTCTCAAAGCTTCCTCCTCCTCCTGGCTCACGGCAGGACCAGTGATTTGCCCACCCAGAACAGGGTTCAGCAAGCCCTTCCCCCTTACAAACGGCATCATGATCTTGACATGGGAGTGGCGGACAAGTTGTTCGTTTTGGGAAAGATTGCCTGAACGTTTGCAATTGCAAGCAGTCAATCCTGCTTCTGCCGCGCAGCCTCCTCCTCCTGTTCACACCAAGAACTCAACACCAATGTTTGGTACTACCCGATGGCTGACACATCGACTGTCGCGCATACTTCTGCGTGGCAACTGTTTCCTGCCTGCTGCTTTCTTGCAGCCTCCTCCTGGCATGAGTAGAGAAGAAAGTGGCTGAATGTGGCAGCATCATGGTCAACACGTCAAATGAATTGCAACAGCAGCGCTCCGGTCATTCAACCCGGGCCTTCAGTGACGCGCCAAGAGAAAGAAATACTTTGCCCGTGACATCAAAAACGGGTTTGCAACACGACAAGGCAACAAGGCAAAACGAAACACTCGCAAACAAGAAGAAAATAACACCAGGCCTCCTGCTTGAGCCGAGCAGCCTTCTTCTCCTGGTTACAAACCATGCAGGCAGCAAGACCAGGCAGCATGATGCGCGCTCAAGTTCGCGTATTCGTTGCATGCCTGCTTTCTTCTTGCAGCCTCCTCCTGTTCAAACGGAAACGGCTTCGCGCTGCAATATGGTTGACGGACAAAATCTTGCACCGCCCAAATACATTTGCCACTGAGCAGGCCGCACACCCCTGCTCCCCCCTTGTCAATGCTATTGGCATTTACCAAAAGTGGTGCAGGATTGCGGTCATTCCAAAGTGTTTGCAACCAATGGCCCTTCAATTCCGATGTTCAACGGGAAGCGGGAGGTAAGCCCATTGCGAAAGCGGTGCAGGATTTCGTCTGTCAACAGCAATGATTTGCACCTTACCTCTGTCAGCAAAACGCCTTGTCAGTTTTTGGTTTACTGGCATGCGTTTGGTGGCTGTGCGCTGGCTAGCGAGCATCTCATGACTCAGGAAAGTGTAATGCAACTTGCCAAGTCAACAGTAAAATCCCGTGGCTATTAAACACCACATTGGACACTACATTGAACATGACCAACATCGCAGGAAACCAAATCAGCATGCCCTACAAATGTGCTTAATGTTGAAAGAAATTTGAAACATGTCTGAGTGTTTGCTTACTGATTTTGTGCGATTTTGGTAGTGTGGAATGAAGCATTGAATTTGTGTTCAATGTAGCGTTCAGTGTGGCGCGCCTTGCACGCAGGGGCCATTTGAAAACAACAGTTCAGTCAGTATCAATTCAAGAAAGGGCAAGCAAGCCTAAGCAACAAACACGCGAAGCACGCTAGCCGTCAGCTCAATTAAAGTTGATGGGCCTGCTTTTGTCTCAAAGCTTCCTCCTCCTCCTGGCTCACGGCAGGACCAGTGATTTGCCACACCCAGAACAGGGTTCAGCAAGCCCTTCCCCCTTACAAACGGCATCATGATCTTGACATGGGAGTGGCGGACAAGTTGTCCGTTTTGGGACAGTTTTGCAATTGCAAGCAGTCAAGCCTGCTTCTGCCGTGCAGCCTCCTCCTCCTGTTCAAACCAAGAACTCAAAACGAAAGCTGGGTACAACATGGTGGCTGACACACCGACTACCATGCTTACCTCTGCCGTAACAACAGTTTCCTGCCTGCTGCTTTCTTGCAGCCTCCTCCTGGCAAGAAACGGACAAATCAATGTCTCTTACAACCCTGTGGCCGACGCGCCGACTATCACGATTTGCCTCCCTGACAAACCGGCCTGTGGTGGAGCAACCTCCACAGCAGCCTCTGGCGCAGCCTCTGGCGCAGCCTCTGGCGCAGTCTCCGGCGCAGCCTCTGGCGCAGCCTCCTTTCGGGCCGCATTCACCAGTGGCGCAGCCTTTTCCGGCTCCTGCTATCGAAAGAGCCCACACTGCGCAAATTCGGGAGGTGCCCAAATGAACCACTACTATCAAACATAGTTTGAGGGTGTTCTGGTGGCAAACCCTGAATCATCACATCAATTCATTGCAAAGGCGCCTGCACAAAGGCCTGATTCCTCTCTGCGGCCTAGTGAGGCACATCTGAACAAGCGGAGCGTAGAAACAAGCATTTGAAACCAACTTTCCCGCCTCAAGATGGAGCGCCTCGGGCACGCCCACGCTGAAAAAACTCGGAAGCCCCAGGAAGAAAAAAAACATTTTTGCTTGTTAGCTCGGAACCCCTTGGTGGATATGATGTTGGTGGTGGTTCATGTCCATCCTACCACTTTCAAGTTTGGTTTGCTGCGAATGCCGCTTTCAGAAACTCCGAGGTGGACTATTCTCAAAGATGCGCCTGAAGTGGATTTCAGAACGCAAAACCCCACCTGTGGAGTTGCTTCGAACAACCCCGACTTAAGAAATTTGTTGGGCTAAGCTAGACTGCAACCGCAAATGCGGCAAAGATCAATCAGGGCCTCAAGCAGGCTGCTGGCTGATGGGAGGGCGGCACTGACCCCTAATCAATGCAGCCTAACCGTTACTGTAATCACGCTTCCCTTCATCCAAGGCGCCGTGATTCTTTGAGGGACAAGTCAAGCTTGCAAGAGCACATCAGACGCAGTTCCGAGATCCAACTACATGGCCCGATGGCAGCTGAAAGCGTGGGCGTCCCTTGCCCAGCACAGCTCAAAGGTTGCCACGCCAAACGAAAACGTCTAAGCGCTCAATCTTCCTCGTCGTGGAACTTGTGGCTCAGCAATCCGGACAAAAGGGCTTTGCTTCACTTGCTGAGGTTTCGCGGTACCCACGCTAGCTTCTGCGGTCGCAGCTTTGCCCACGCATCCCTGCGTGAGCCGCGAGTGCTCTCTAGAGGAGCTACGCGCCCCTGGCACGTCCTTTGTTAGGCAAACAGCCAAGCCGGCGTCTTTGAGCACCCACCCACCTCCACGCAAAGCCAAGAAAGGCGGCTTGACTTGTCACATTCGCTTGGAGTCCTTGCATACGGCATGGGTCTTGTCTTCGATCAGGCTCTGTGGTGTGCCACTGGCTGTGGTCCGGCCACTGGCAGGAGCCTCAGGCTCCGGACTGTCACGGTTGTCAGTTCCTGTGTGTCACAGCTGTAGACATGAAGGTCAGGTCAAACTGTCACAGCTGGCGAAATAGGCTCTGTCACAGCTGTCAAGCCGCACCCCAGGTCGACAAATGTCACTCAAAATCTAACAACGGTTGCGGAACAACCCCCACAAACCAAGGGACACTCCCAAGCTAAAACATCCTCCAGAAACCTGAAGTTGCCCAGTTGCCCAGAATTCCTGCTGCAAGTCCTCTGAATCCAGGCACCTTTGCCCAGGTGAATCAAATGAACACCTGGTAAAGTGGGTGTTCAAAATGGAGTGCTGACCAATCCCAAGCCAACTCTATTGGAAAACCACATCTCAAGGGGCCACATCCTTTTGTATCCGAAAGTGAGGACTTTCCAAGATAGCTTCCATTACCCCCAAACCACTGTTCCCAGCAACAATTTTTATACCGTGTTTTCGTTGGTTGATATCCCACACTCTTGGTCCCAGTTAAGGCTTTAGTCTGGGGCGGAAGCCATCTTAGCTGCCCGATTTTGAGAGGATGGTTGATCTGTCCTATGCTCATGTGAAACTTTGTGAGTACAAACCTCGAGACAGGCTCGATGAATCAGGGTGTCTTTTTGGAGTTGGAAAACCATGAATTGCATGTGTTCTTTTCTTTACTTGCTCTTTTTGGGGGGGCTCCGATTCCTTCGGCCAAACCCTTCGGCGCCTTGAGGTAGGGCTCGATGCACTTTTGGTGCAGCTCCCTCGCTCGCTGGCCCATCTCCATGGCCTCTTGACCATGTCGTTGGCCTTTTGGTTTCCCGTTACCAGCCAAAGAATCCTCTGGGGTTCAGCCAAAACATGACGGTTTCTGACAATGGACCTAGGGAAACCAAAAGGAAACCAACTTGACATTTTAGGGCCCTCGACGTGGAAGGAGAAAGGACCAACTGCGATGATGACAAATCTTGAACGATAAAAAACGGCGGCAAAATATTGCGTACAAATCCCTCCAAGAATGAACCAATAAATGGATTTCGGACCCCCCAAAACAAAATGGTGGACAAGCCCCCCCTTTTGGTTGGTGTTTCCCCGTCGCAGGGGGCTGATTCCCGTTTTCGCACAGAAAATCACCCGACACCACTGGATTGGAAGATGCTCAACGGTGGAGACTCTGCAAAAACAACTCAAGCAAAGGTCAGGCACGAATTTGGACTGAGAGCCAGCAGCATTCAGAGAGACGGTCCACCTCAGCTACCACTTCTACATGGAGACTGCATGGCGAAATGATACTACTCGAGTCAGCGACTGAGCAGCGTCGGCGCTGCTGTTTGTGAAAAGCCTTGGCAATAGCGAGCATCAGGCTCGGGCTGTCATAGTTGCCCAAACAGCTTTGGTGAACATTCTGCCCTCACGGGAACTGATTGAGGCATCTGGAGGCATGGTTCCACAGTACGCGACCCAAGGACAGGGCTCGAAATTCCGCTGCGGGGTCTTCAGAACGAAGCCAAAGTTCCTGGGAGGCACAAAGTTCTCCCGGGGTGCCGTCCCCAAAAAAAGGAAAACCAAAGGACAAGCAGAAGGGAGACCTCACACAGGCACTTTCTGTTTCTGGATTATTGGGAGTCCGAAGACTTGCAATTTGTTAGCATTGCAAGTAAGCGGGTTGGTGTTGTTTGTTGGGGTTGATTAGAAGGAAAGCCGAAAGGAAACCACCAGGTTGGTTTTGGAAGATGGGATTATAGGAGGCTGTTTTTTTGGCCATGCAAGTGGTTTCTCGGTGTTTTGACTAATTGTTTCGGACTTGTGTCTGGTATGTGTATTAGACCTGCATTTTGCGTTGTACACATGTTTGCGTGGGCTGTGGTTCATTTGCTGTGCACTCCGCATTAGCTTCCATGCTCATAGGGTGTCTTAGCCAGCCGCGTGCGATACTCTTGTGAAGCCTTTCCCTGCTAGATTATGTTCAAACTCCAACTGGAATTGTGAATTGTCAAGTCCTATCTGAAAGGAATTCTATCTTAAGTTCCAAATTCTAAAATAGAATGGCTAAGTAGATTAGGACAAACTCTTTCTTATAGAACTCCATGGACATGCCGCTTCAATCATGATTACCTCGGAAGGGAGTTCCTGCTCAAATTCTAACTTTGATTGAGAGTTGGAACTGTGTTGTTCATTCTTGAATTCAAAATCAATGCTAACGTGGACAAACAATCCTATTGCTTGTTTCCTCATTGAATTGTATTAAACTTATAAGTTTAAACAAAAATTCATTTGGGCAGGAAATCCTACTTGAACTCTACTTTGAAATGACCAACCATTCTAACAAAAATACAGTAAAAACATATTGGAATGGGACTTATATTTGAATTCTACTTCGAAATGGACATGCTGGATATGGTATTTCCTCATAAGTTAAAGGGACAATTACGTGGAAAGACTTCCCATGTCACGTCGAACTTAACATGAAAATCCCGCCTGAATGATGTCCTTCTCAAATCATCTTTAACATCCAGTTGAAGCGTAAATAAAAGTATATGTGGCAATGAATTATCATGTAGTTTCGCGCTCGAAGTGCAAATGATACTTCACTTCTTTGCTTATCAAAACTCTACCGATTCCAAGAGACTTCCACATAAAACCGGCTTGGAAAGGAATTCCTAGGCAAAATCCAGTTCAAACCATACCAATTGTCTTTCATTTGAGTGTGGGGACCTCTGCAGACTTGGACCTGCAGACTGTATGAGGTCATCCTCACAAAACCTGGGGTCCCCCCCCAACAACAAAAAACGAGAGGCCCTGGCCTCCAAACAGTCTGCAAAGGTCCCACAAAGTCAAATGTGTAATCAATCCTGGGTTGTCTTTCGCTGGGGAATGATTTTGGTTCTTGTGGGACCTCTGCAAACTCTTTTGAGGTCACAGCTTCTGACCTCAACAAATTCTGCAGAATCCCACAAAATAAAATCCTATGAGGTCGTGATCAATCGGCTGCAATCTGTGACTCCAACACTCAAGAAGTACAAAGAATCACAAAAAGCGGAGGTGCGAAAAATCCTTGCCTCCCATAACGTCCCTCTGTTTTGATGTTTCATGGTGTTCTTGTTTTGTTGTTTCGTGTTTTTGTTTTTTTTGAGGGGGGAGGAGGTGGGTTGAGACAGACCGAAGTGATGACTCCTTCGATCCGAACGACGGACTCCGAACTCCGAAATCCATCCCACCGAAAACTCCGCCCGCGAGCTGAGGCCCGCGCATGGTGTTTCTCCGCGACTTCTTCTCGGGCAGCGGGAGCCTTGAGGTGAGGCACCCAGATCTGCACCTTCAAGTCCTACAGTCTAGGGGTCTTCTCGAGGGCATGCCCAGGTTTTCGAGGTGTGGGTGCTACACAACCACTTGAAACCGGGTTGGTACCCCATTTCACACCGACTCGAACAGCGACCCGCGACTCGCGCGAAGCGCGAAGCGCGTGTTTCCGGGTCTCAGGAAGGCACCGCTCAGCGCCTGGGAACGGAAATTCGATTGCATCAATTTCGCAACCCCCAACCGGATGGTCTCCTTCGGTTTTCCTGACTTCCCTAAGCCACACAAACCAAGCACCTCCAAAACCTGACATGCCCACTTTGTGGCTAGATGCACCTACTTTGGAACCTTTCACCAGCAGGTTCTGCGATACTGTTCGGCAACAGCCCTTGATTTACGGGGTTGAGTAATCCGGGGTCAACAATGATGCAGAGGTCCAGTTCAAAGAGGGGATCGATCCGAATCAGAGGAAACAGCCGGCGGACGGAACTTCGGCCCTCTCGCCGGCTTGCTGGCTTGCCGGCATTCCTTGGGCCCCCACCGAGGATGTTTTTGAAGGGAATTGGCTGCGACACCTCGCCATGCGACGCGACTCCGAATCTGAAAAGGATTACACCGGCGACCTTCTTCTGCGACGTCGAGTGCGAGTAGAACATGATTTGCGAGTCAAAGTCAATCGTGAAGTACCTAGCCGAAGACTTGGCCGACGGCGTGAAATCAAGGCTCGCTATATGCAAAAACACGGGCTGCTTCAGGTAAACAACTCGACAAGCCTTCCCTGCCACTCACTTCCCCAAAAGCTCAACTGGCTTCCGGAAGGGCAGTGTGCAACAGGCGCAACAGGCGCCAAGCAGCTGCGCGCACCGAGTGTTGGAGCTCTGAATCAGCTTGCAGCGCGCATTGTCGCTCTTGGTCTGAACGGGGCGCACGCGGTCAAAGAGACGTGAGTTGCGTGCGCATAACTTTCTTCCTGATTTTGTCATGGCACGCTTTTGAGCTGCGGCACACTTTTGAATAACCTTCAAAGGGAAACCGAAAGTAAAAACACCGAAGCTATTTTGGGAATTTTGGTCCAGCCCCGATGGGCTCCCCCTGCTCTCAGTCATTCCGCCTTTTTGAGCCAGGCGCTATACGCGCCCTGACCTCAGATCGCCATCACAAATCTTTTGGGACCAGCTTTGGCTACTCCCCACAGTTTGGATGTCGGCATTCCCTGCTCTTCCCTGCGCTTCCCTTGGCTTGAGTTGGCTTGGGCTTCTAAATTTGCAAATACTTGGCCATACATTCGTCCATAGCTGAAAATGGACCCTCCGGGCGCTTGCGACCGGAGACTTAGGCTAGTACGGGTGACTCGAGCATCCTCAATAATCAGAGTATCCTGGCCGGACTTCGCGAAAGGCTCCCTCAAAGTAAGACTCCCCTGCGGTCCACATGAAACCCGGAAAAACATCGCCCCTGTTTGGGGTAAGCCATGTCCATTTGCAGTGGAGCAAGTCTGGCAACATGCAGCCCTTTTGTTTTAGATGTCAAGAGCAGATGCCTCTTTGCCACCCTCCATGCCGAAACACCTCAGTAACTGGCTGACTGCAGACCAAGCTGGGCCACGGTGGCCTATGCCAAGCGCTAAGGCGGCTGCACAACGAGCAAATCACCATGTGCTGAGAAGTGAAACTGAGCCAAACAGCCGGACCGGCTCTCTCGTTGAGCGCACACAAGACTTGGTGCTGTGGAAGCATAGAATTCCACGCCAGGCACCAGTTGGGACAAATGACACCCTATGATACTGGTTGACAAACCACCAATTCCAGCTGGTGCGCAAAATGTGCCTTTTTGGGTTGGTTTATGGGGAAACAAAACAAAAAACATTCTTACTGAGCTGGAAAACCAGGTTCGTGGCTACTCACCCCTTTTTTCGAGCATTTGCATCAGTCTCCGAGTCAGCCAGCATCCAGAACATCAAATCTGCCGTGGCCGCTTGAAGGAGCCACTCCTGAAAAGATGAGAGCAAAAGGCGCGTTCGCAGTTCGCACAGCACCTACTCAGCAAATTAACGGAAGGAGGCCCCAACACAAGGCTCCCAAAAAAGAGACTCCTTCACAAATGAAGGTTTTGTTGGTTCCATGTCAACCTGACGGGGTGTGCAGAGATGCAAGCAGAAACGCATGGGATGAACGGTTGCATTTCAGCCGAGCAGCGTTATTGGAGCGCACTTCCAGCGTTGACTCGTCCGAATGCCGCACGATGAAGCACAAAATACTCTCACTGTCGCAGGCAATGCCCGAGAAGCATTGGCATTCGTTCCGTGCAGTCCCACTCTTCGGGAAAACATGGAAGCCCCGCATTCTCCAGTCACGCGTGATGCCCAGAGCACTTTGCATTTGGGAGTAGGGGCAGGCTGCAAAGATTAGGGGCGGCGGAAACGGCGAAGCGCCGCCCGGAACATCAAAGCCATAGAATGGCAAAAAATACCAAGACAACGGCGCTGACACTGGACAGCAGGTGAATCTCAGTCGCTCGTCCTCCTCATCGTCCTTACAGATTTATGACCATGTCACTTGTTTGATCAGAACCACACGACAACGTGCGTATGCGCTCAAAGCTAAAGACATATTCGCGACTATATTTCGCTAAGCATCATCATCGCTCCAAATATCCTCGATGCCACCCCTGGTCATTGGCGTGCTGGCAGGTGTCAGTCCCGAAAGGGTACCCTCCGGCACGACTTTTGCGTAGCTGAAAGACAAGATCAGGCTGACGGGCTTGGGAGGGAAGCGAAGGTACAAATCCCGCCAGACCGTTGTTGAACTCCTACCTGGATGGCTCAACCCCCCTATGCAAACAGTGCAACTGTTTGTCGTTGAGGAAGAACCATAACTTTCAACAATCAGAAGCAAAAGTCCAAACAAATAGCAGCCGAGCTACATGTGATCGGTTCGAGGGGGCTGTTGCTGAAGGGTCTCTGCAGGCCTTCTGCAAAATGCCATGGTGGCGCCTTGTCAGCGCGCTCGCCCATTCGCGTTGGTCGAGCTATGCTCAAGGTCAACGTCACGTCCCGAAGGCCTTGGGAAGCTTGGTGTTTCATGCTGGGTTGACTGACACTGGAACTAACCTCAGAATGTATGGCCCCTTTGAGAAATCATTGCCACTGGCCCACATCTTGTGAGCAACTTGCACGCTCGCGCAAGAGTTGTCGCGTGGTTCGCCCATGACAAACGTGTCATAAAAGTCCCAACAGGTCAAACCCTAACTTCTGCCAAGTGGCCCAAACACAGCAGTGATAAGCCACGCTAGTGCACTTCAATGGGTTGCACAAGTTGGCCGCTTGAGGAATCTCAATCAATGCTTGTCTTGCGTGTGGTTAACCTTTACTTGTTCAGCTGGAGTACAAACCAGCCGGGGTTCTGTGCCAGGCTGCTCAGTGCGGTCGCATTGAACAGGTCAATGCGCAGCGTCACGTGGCTCGAACCAGAAACCCAGCTGATAAGCGGCTGCACGTATACAAAGAGCGGAGGCCCAGAAACTGATATCATCCTGCAATGCGTAGGGACTGTGACATGACATCATAGCACTCGCTACTAAGGCACCGAAAAAGGACTGGTTTGGCTAACACCAAATTATGTTCGATGAATTCTGGCCATCGCCGCATAAAAAGGCGGCTTCTCAGTCATTCCCTACGCAAAAAAAAAAAAAAAACGCAAATGGGTGGCCAAAAACCATACCCGCAAGACTGGGTGGTAGAGGGAGCGTGCATGCCCATGCTCATGCTCTTGCATTCTCCCCGCCTCGGCGCCTGAAAAGCATCCTCAGGTCCTTGAGCATCTGCCACCAAATGCAGCCAGCGCACAAAGTGCTCCTAAGACCAGTGACTTGCAGTGACTTGACATGTAACCAATTGAAATGTCAGGTGGGTTTAGCCCCTTTTGTGATATGAGCCTTTGTAAAAGCTACGAAGGTTCCATGGGAATGTTAGTGAGGCTTCTGGCTTTTGTAAAGATTTTGGTGAGTTAAACGAAAAGCAAAAATTCGACGGAAGCTCATGTATAAAACATTGCGGATGCTATCAGGCTGCAGGCCAAAAACAAAAAAAGAGACTCTTCCGGTGACCGAGCGGCGGCGCTCTGCCCCTTGGCAGCCACTGGGGTCGGCACCGCCGGATTCCCCCGACCCGGACTCTCCAAAAGGCGGCCACGCGCGTCACGGACTTCTGCCCACTCCACGCCCGGCAGCTCCGTTTGCCGCAGCAGCTCCGCCATCTTCGCGCGGGGCGCCGGCGACATATTCGGCACGTCCACGAAGGACAGCAGCAACAGAGCCTCCCAAAAAGCAGAACCAAATCTGAAAGCATGTTTGGGGTGGAAACCTTCCCATGAATCACAACAACCAGGGGTGATTTGCAAAAACTCTGCGTATTCCAAGTTTGGGGGAACCATCCCCCACTACGCGACAAAAACTGGGTTTCCCTTGATACAACAAATGACATCCGACGTTTTCCACAGTGCCTCCGGCTTTGCCAGAAGCTCAGGCCGGTTCAACACGGGGAGAAGCGTCTGGGTGGCCTGTGTGGCGAAGGCAGCAGATATCATCAGCCAGGCCGACGCTCGTGCCTGAGCTTCCTCATCCAACAAACTGGCAAGGAGGTAGCGCTGCACAAGAGCCTCCACCAAATCTCGCGTTCCGGGCCGATCTTTCAGAAGCAAGCAGACCTGCGCCGTGCTGGCGGTAGCCAGCCAGAGTTTGTCCTGTCCGGATCTGCGCAGGGCTGCATCAAAGAGCTCGAGATCTGCGGGCTTCCCGTGCAATACGAGGACCTTGGCAGCCATGGCCATGAGCCGCAGCAGGAGCGGCGCCTGCGCCGCTCTTTGCACCAAGGTGGATCCCAGCACCAAGCCTTCCACGCAAACGGCACACACCCGGCGGCTGTCGGAAGTGGCTCCCGCTGGCTCCAACAAATGCCACAGGGACGCCACGCTACAAAGACTCTCTGCCAAGAAGAGTCGAAGGACGGGCTGCTGGCATCCCATTTGAAGGCTCTCGGCCACTGCCAAAAAAGTGTTGCGAGCTTTAGCAATGTCTGGACCTGGCATGCCAACACAAACTTGTCGGGTACGAAAAGTCCTAAGCCACCCATGGGCTTGTCATATTTGGAAACCCAAAAAGTGCTTGTCTTTGGGTTTCGCTTGAAAGCACTCCGGAAAAGGGTCACGTACCCTCAAAAAACACACGCAGCACGTGTCGACAAGCAGCCCCTGCACAGGAGGATGAGGACATTCACCAAGCGTGCTCTTGCGCTCGCAAAGCTAGCACCCCACGAGCCGCTGAAGCGGGAGCACTCTGTCAGACTCTGCACAAGGCCATCCTAACTCACGTGTGTGGGTGTTGGTGTTGGTGTTAGTGTTTGCGTTTGTGTTTGTCTTTGTCTTTGTGTATGTGTTTGCGTTTGCGTTTCTGTTTGTGCTCTTGGTGTGCTTTTGGTTTGTTTGTTTGATTGCTTGCTTGCTTGCTTGCTTGCTTGCTTGCTTGCTTGCTTGCTTGCTTGCTTGCTTGCTTGCTTGCTTGCTTGCTTGCTTGCTTGCTTGCTTGCTTGCTTGCTTGCTTGCTTGCTTGCTTGCTTGCTTGCTTGCTTGCTCATCATGGGCCCTTTTCAGGCTGGGTCTTAAACAGAGGGAAGTCAAAGGGAAATTAGGTTCTTTTACATTTCCCGTTCAGACATGCCCATCTTGGCGATTCGGAACAGCTTAAAACACCAGCTTTGCCTGTAAGACGTACCAGTGCAGCTTGGAAGCAGGGGGCGGTGGAAGTTCTGGCAAAGTTGGCTTGCGACCTCTGCCCAGATCCACCAGAAACGTGGAATCATGACCTCAACGGCAAAGCTAAACCCTAGGGTTCAAAAGGACGGGTGTGGGTCAAAAACAAGTACACTAAATGGACATCTCGTGAATGGAAACCCTACTGGCTTGATTTTGACCCATACCCAAATTTACCCAACCATTCAAGCCCAGGGGTGGTAGTTGAACATTAGGATGGAGGAGCAAAACAAGACTCGAAAACCAGGTCCTGGTACAGGCGTCTACCCACAACCCATGGGCAAATAATCAAAACAACTCCTTCATACCCGCATGTAGTTACGGCTGTTTGTCTTGAGGCTCGGTAATTCTCATTTTCAGGTAAGTGTTTTGGCACGAAACCAAAAGGAAAACCACCATTCCCATTTGTGGCTCGAGTTTCTTACCCTTCCACCCGAGTCTGTCAAAACCGAGGAGCGCTGCTCGGGATCCCGGGCAAGGCCGCCGCCATAGGCGAAGAACCACAACAGCGCCGCCCGGAAGGACGCCGCTTCCTTGCCCAGTGCCTCTTTGTCGGCGTCCTTGGGCTCTCAAACTGGGTTAGCTCCGATTTTCGGTAAGCCCAGGACGAGAAATGACTGGAACGGGGAGTCTCAGAACCTTGCCTAAAACAAGGATCTCAAGCGGATTGCCTGTGAACTTCAAACATTGCAAGAAAGTGGCCTTTACTGGCTAGTTCTGCGCTCAAGTGATATCCCAATGAGGCGCCGCAGATTGCTTTGCACAAGCCCGGGCGGCCAGCAACCGGGGCCCGGTGAGCAGAAACCGGTTTTACTCAATCCGGTTTCCGGTCAGTGCGCCGTTCCCCGGCCGTTCACCAGTAGCCAGTTGCTGGCGCGCCGGTTTTGCTCAGGCTCTGACCCATGTCGTTGTAGGTGTCTGTGTCCAGTACTCTCTTCCCGTTTTGTTAGGTTTTGTTCATTCTCGGAGTTGGGATTAGGTATCAATGGCTGCCATTGATGATCCCGACACCCTCAAGAAGTTGAGAACCTTGCAACAAGATTTGCTGACCTTCTTCCGCGAAGAGGTGTAGCAAGGATATTCAGCCCACAAGAGAAGCATGCACTGCTATGAGGACCTGCCTCCCTTGATTGGAAGACTTAGTCAGAATTGCGATCAGCGGGCACAAGCCAGGGAAGATATGTTTTGCTTTTTCCTTCAGCCCGGCATCTATCTTGCGTTGAAAGAGCACGCAAATCGATTCAGACACTACAGTGGCTCTTGAGGTACCGGACTGGCTTGGCGCTGAAGAAGTACCAGTTGAACTTCTTCGTACTTTTGCCACTCTCTTCGAATGCGTCACCAGGGTTAAAGTCCTACCTGTTTGCTTCTGGTCCCGACAGTATCGCAAGGAAACATGCTGCCCGGCTTTGGGTTGCTCTGGACTGCCGCCCCCGGAACCCAACCTCAGAGCCACCCCGAACCACGCGGAGCTTGTCTGGGCAAAGACCCGCTTTCAGCTGGGGAAAAAGGAACACCCATGTCAAATTCTACACGAGTGGATTCCTTTCGAGTTCCCCTAAACATCACCCAGAAAAGAGTCAGCCAGTTTGAGAACATTCACAGCCTTCTATCCAGGCGTCCGTGGCGCTTTCCGCGCCCTGCCGCGGCGGCAAACCCGCGGCCTTGTTGAGCTCGATGGCCTGATCCCGCGTGGGAACCCAAATGCAGTCCTTGGATCGCAACTCGAACGCATGGCCCAAAGAATTGACAACACCACAAAAATGGCATGCCCAAAAAGCTTTGAGACAACCAAAGCAATGCGCAAAGGGCGGTTTGAGGCACAAGCGGTCGAGGTGCAAGATCAGTCATGGTGACCAAGCGAGGTAAGGCCGCCTTCAAATCTCGCAGCACCTCCATGAGAAGCGTCGCGTAGATGAGCTTGAAGTGCCACGCCTCAAAGCCCACAGCGCTCTTTCTTCTGACCAACTCACATTTCAAGATGCTAGCTCGTGAAAATGCATGAAAATGCATGAAAATGCATGAAAGTGCAAAATGTACGAAACCTCTACAAAAACCCGCGTTTTGTTGTTCAACAGTTGCACGTTTAATGCTTGTGGCCAAAAAGAGGCTCCTGGCACTATCCGTTGACCGCATTAACCCGGACCCTTTGTAGATTAACCCGGCTTTTGCTATTCATAATACCATAATTCTAACTGCTATTAAAGAAACAGCTTACTGCTGCTCACTTTTGATGAGTTGTTTTCAGCATTTCGGGCGGTATTCATGCCCGGAGGCTTGCTTGAGCCAAAGCTAAAATATGTGGCACGCGCGCAAAAATGTCGAATTATGGTTGAAAATCGCAGTTTTGCAACAACGTTCAAAATGGCTTGTTTCCCGAAGAGGACATGGGACCTTAGCCCCGCAGGTGTTTGGGAGAATTCGGTGAGTTTCCTCATATCCTCCGACAAAGCACGCAATGTTCACCATGCCATCCATTGCCAAGCAACAGGGTGGAAGAACGCCACCAGTGCCAGCGGGGGCAGAGACACGTTCCTTGGTGGCGATTGAAGTGCCCCCTGCCAAAGAGTTGAACTTTGTGTGGGTTTGTGGGAACATACACATTTAGGTGTGTGTGTGTGTGTTGTTTGAGGGTATCCTTTCTTGCTTAGGTTGGGAAGGAAAACCATCCCGAGTCTTGAGACATATCCGTTCAAAGTCGAAAATCCAACCAAGGTGTCTCTTCTTAAAGGGGACCCCCCCCAAACTTTCCCTTTAGATCCACAGAAAAAGAAGGAGCACGCTCAAAAAAACGGCAGACCCATTTCGCACCCAAGCTTCAAGTAAGCCACCAGGAGCTCGTCCAGCACCGCAGCGCTGGCCGCCTGAAGCTCGTCCTCTTCCGATTCCGTGCTCGCGAGGCTGGCGAAGGCAAGCCGCAAGCCTTCTACGCCTCACAGACTCTATGGTTTCCACTCCCTTTTTCAGGGGTTTAATGGGAGATACAGCCACTAGCCACATACTCAGTTTACTGGAAGGGGGGATAACTGGAAATCAATGTTGTCAAGGAACCCTGTGACGTCTGAAGCCAAATAAGTGCTTTTTCTTTTTCCCCCCCCCCCCGAAGGCTTCGTTACAGTAATTTGGGCCACATCCACCTTTGAAGTTAGGGGGGCAAGGGGGTCGGCACCTATTATCAAAATGGACTTGGGAAGATGGGTGTTTTTTTGTTTGGCATTTTTTTGTTTACCCTCTGGTTGTTGTAGAAATGCTCTCCAGCCGCACAAGAATCTGAGTTGTCCACGCTTGAGTTTTTCCTTAGAGGTTCGAATCCCATTGATCTGACAAAGAATCCGCCCGAAGGCAACCGAAGGGCTGGCTGAACAAAAGTGCACTGTACTTCAGACAAGAGTTGATGCTTCTTAGCTGTTCTCAAAAAGCACTCTCCGGTCAACCATGCATCGAATGAAGTGCAATCAATGGGTAAGCAGGTGTGGGACGGTCAATTATCACGCCTTTTTGAGTTTACAAGAACATGGCTTGCCAGGATCCTAAATTGGCCGCGCACACCTGCAATTGTTTTGAACCTCAAGAGGCCAGTGTGCGACCAGCGAGATGAATTTTGCAACTGCTCACAAACTGAGGCACGGGCAAGCATCCCGCAAAGCTTCATCACTCACTGCCTCAGACACAAAACACGTCTTGCAACAACAGCAAGCAATAAAGGCAAACCAAGCGACACAAGATCAACGTTGCTTAGAATGTCCATGCATGTTTGGCATTGATAGGCCACTATCGGTATAGGAGACCCTTGTGGCACTTGCGCTATCCATTCCGAGCAAAAGCAGCATGAGCGCCAATGCTGAAAAAGGCATTCCACCATGCCATCGGTTCTTCGCATCAAGGACCTACCAACAGCCTTTGCAATATACGTCAGCGGGTTTCTGTGATACGGATGCCATGGCGCTAAGGAAATTACAGGTCAACATCAAAATGCCAACACATCGAACATGGTTTAAGATGCACCGAAAGCCGAAACGTTGCAAACCACCGCGCACACACACACACACACACACACACCTGCCCCGAGTGACGTCGCTACAGCTTGCCCTGGTTTGGCAAATGCCAACTGGCACGCTGTATCATGCAAGGTCTGCCACATTCTTGCAAGCTTCGAAAACAGAATCGATCAAGCATCTCAGGTCAAAAAATGTATAATGGTTCTTCCAGCCCCGAAGCCAAGCTGCCGCAATGCAAGGCCAGCATTTCACCAGGCAGCTGCCGAAGGTCTTCAGCACTGCTGGGCGGGTGCGCTTGGGCCCGTCCAGCACTCGCCTGCGCGAGCCGAAATCAACCGAACAGGCGACTGAGGTGAGCCACAACCAAACCCTGATACTCAAAGGGTCTACGAAAACCAATGTAAAGAATTCAATTGAAGGGTGGCCGCACCTATGGTTGGGCCTGCACCTCGCAAATCTTCACTTACCCGGGTTTTGATCGTGACTCAGTGGCAACAGCAGGCCTCATCAGACTCTCCGGATCAAGCACTCCGAAGACCTTCAGAAGGTCCTAGCATGGCTGCATCCCGTCGACTGGCTCTCACTCCGCTCCGCCCGACCTCTGGAGGTAGCTCTTCAAAGGCAGGAAGGATCACCTGCAAAGCGTCAAAGCTATGCTGGGTGAGGAACTCCTAGCCCATCAATTCAGTGACCCATCCGTTGGATGGGTTCGATCACAAACGGGTTTCGAAATCGGATGCGAAGAACACGCGAGAAACGTCCTGTGGCAGTGGGAACCGGTGTGTTAGAACCCGTACGGTTTTCTACCCGTTGAACGGGTCCCTGCGTCAATTGCCAAGCGGCCATGGCGCCCCGCTGGTCGCACTTGGCCAAAGCTTGTATCAGCGCCCGTGCGACGCTCGAGAAATGGCCGCATTGCTCGCGAGCGCTAGGAAGCAAAATACTTGCCTTAGATATATCTGGTTTCAGTCTTCTTAACTTCAGACTAAACTAAGCTTTTGGAGATGAATCCCTCTAAATCCTAAAAGGTCAAGGTTTACGGAACGCTATGGCCTCTGCCAAGTGGCGGCCAGCACTTGGAGGGCGTCCTGGCGAAGCTCCTTCTCAGACTCCGCCGCCAGGTCAATGACAACCGGAAGCCTCAGCAAAGTCTGGGTTCCCACGGGTTCTCAGAGGGCTCCCCCCAAGACGGCCAACGGGTTTTTCATCAATAAACTAACCTGAAAAAAGGAACCAGTTTTGGATGTTTCTTTTTTGAGGGTGGTATTAAAGTTGGCTTCCCCTTCCGAACCAGAAGGTTTTCCTTAAAACAGGCACGCCCATCTTTCCCCTTTACACATCAACCCGGCAAAAGGTCATGCTTAAAACCAATAACATGGAAAGTATAGGGACCAATAGGGGTGGGGTTGTCAGAAACAAAGCCCCATTTCTCACCCTGGCGCATTTTAAGGGTGTGTGTGTGTGTGTGAGTTTGCTTGCAGGTGGCAGAAACTTTGTTTCTCTCAAGGAACGCAACATGGGTGTGTCATTTACATGACCCAGAAATTGTGGTTGTCCTTTGGTTGTCTTGTAAAGCCGCAAAAAGGGTACCCTCAAAAAACAAAAGGTGGTGCAGGATTTCGGTCATTCCAAGATGTTTGCAAACAAGGGCCCTCAAGATTCCAATCTTAAATGGGGAGCGCGAGGGTTTTTTTCCCCATGACAAAAGCGGTGCAGGATTTCGTCCGTCAACAGTAAGGATTTGTCACGTTAGCTCTGTCAGCAAATCGTTTTGTCCCATGGGCGGCTATGGACTGACCCGCCAACAACTCAAGCGCGACTCAGGGAAGTCGGACAACTTGCCCGGCAAACATGGGCTCCAGCGCATAGAGGGAGAACACTGCATTCAGCGATGGGTCGAACGCTAGTCTTAGTGAACACTACATTGAACACTACATTGAACACTCATTGAACACTACATTGAACACTACGTTGAACACTACCAAAAGCGCGTAAAAACCAGCACTTTCTACAAACCAGCTACATTTGGAAAGAAATTGAAACGTTCTTTGGTTTCTTTTACCTCAAAGAAGGAGCAAAGCTGAAAGTGCTGGTATTTGCGCGAGTTTGGCAGTGTTCAATGTAGTGTTCAATGTAGTGTTCAATGTGGTGTTCAATTAGTGTTCAATGTAGTGTTCAATGTAGTGCGCATTGTAGCGTTCAATGTGGCGCTTGCCGCCGCGCTTAGCGCACACGCCTTGCACGCGAGGGTTGTTTAAAAACAGCAGCTCATTCAGTACGGATTTGTCACGTTAGCTCTGTCAGCAAATCGTTTTGTCCCATGGGCGGCTTTGGACTGACCAGCCAACAACTCAAGCGCGACTCAGGGAAGTCGGACAACTTGCCAGGCAAACATGGGCTCCAGCGCATAGAGGGAGAACACTGCATTCAGCGATGGGTCGAACGCTAGTCTTAGTGAACACTACATTGAACACTACATTGAACACTCATTGAACACTACATTGAACACTACGTTGAACACTACCAAAAGCGCGTAAAAACCAGCACTTTCTACAAACCAGCTACATTTGGAAAGAAATTGAAACGTTCTTTGGTTTCTTTTACCTCAAAGAAGGAGCAAAGCTGAAAGTGCTGGTATTTGCGCGAGTTTGGATTTCAATGTAGTGCTCAATGTAGTGTTCAATGTGGTGTTCAATGATTGTTCAATGTAGTGTTCAGTGTAGTGCGTGTTGTAGCGTTCAATGTGGCGCTTGCCGCCGCGCTTAGCGCACACGCCTTGCACGCGAGGGTTGTTTAAAAACAGCAGCTCATTCGTAAGGATTTGTCACGTTAGCTCTGTCAGCAAATCGTTTTGTCCCATGGGCGGCTATGGACTGACCAGCCAACAACTCAAGCGCGACTCAGGGAAGTCGGATAACTTGTCAGGTAAATATGGGTTTTAGCGCATAGAGGGAGAACACTGCATTCAGCGATGGGTCGAACGCTAGTCTTAGTGAACACTACATTGAACACTACATTGAACACTCATTGAACACTACATTGAACACTACATTGAACACTACCAAAAGCACGTAAAAACCAGCACTTTCTACAAACCAGCTAAATTTGGAAACAAATTGAAACTTTTTTGGTTTCTTTTACATCAAAGAAGGAGCAAAGCTGAAAGTGCTGGTATTTGCGCGAGTTTGGCAGTGTTCAATGTAGTGTTCAATGTAGTGTTCAATGTGGTGTTCAATGATTGTTCAATGTAGTGTTCAGTGTAGTGCGCGTTGTAGCGTTCAATGTGGCGCTTGCCGCCGCGCTTAGCGCACACGCCTTGCACGCGGGGGTTGTTTAAAGACAGCAGCTCATTCGGTTGACAGACGAAATCCTGCACCGCCTCTGCCAACTGCATTCTGCCACTGAACAGGCTGCGCGCCCCGCTCCCCCTTTTCAATGTTGTTGGCATTCGCAAAAGGTGGTGCAGGATTTCGGTCACTCCAACATGTTTGCAAACAAGGGCCCTTAAGATTCCAATGTTACATGGGAAGCGCGAGGGGTTTTTCCCCCATGAGAAAACGGTGCAGGATTTCGTCCGTCAAGAGTAAGGATTTGTCACGTTAGCTCTGACAGCAAATCGTTTTGTCCCATGGGCGGCTATGGACTGACCCGCCAACAACTCAAGCGCGACTCAGGGAAGTCGGACAACTTGCCAGGCAAACATGGGCTCCAGCGCATAGAGGGAGAACACTGCATTCAGCGATGGGTCGGACGCTAGTCTTAGTGAACACTACATTGAACACTACATTGAACACTCATTGAACACTACATTGAACACTACATTGAACACTACATTGAACACTACCAAAAGCGCGTAAAAACCAGCACTTTCTACAAACCAGCTACATTTGGAAAGAAATTGAATCGTTTTTTGGTTTCGTTGACCTCAAAGAAGGAGCAAAGCTGAAAGTGCTGGTATTTGCGCGAGTTTGGCAGTGTTCAATGTAGTGTTCAATGTAGTGTTCAATGTGGTGTTCAATTAGTGTTCAATGTAGTGTTCAATGTAGTGCGCATTGTAGCGTTCAATGTGGCGCTTGCCGCCGCGCTTAGCGCACACGCCTTGCACGCGAGGGTTGTTTAAAAACAGCTGCTCATTCGTAAGGATTTGTCACGTTAGCTCTGTCAGCAAATCGTTTTGTCCCATGGGCGGCTATGGACTGACCAGCCAACAACTCAAGCGCGACTCAGGGAAGTCGGACAACTTGCCAGGCAAACATGGGCTCCAGCGCATAGAGGGAGAACACTGCAATCAGCGATGGGTCGAACGCTAGTCTTAGTGAACACTACATTGGACACTACATTGAACACTCATTGAACACTACATTGAACACTACATTGAACACTATATACATTGAACACTACCAAAAGCGCGTAAAAACCAGCTTTCTCTACAAATCAGCTACATTTGGAAACAAATTGAAACTTGTTTTTGGTTTCTTTTACATCAAAGAAGGAGCAAAGCTGAAAGTGCTGGTGTTTGCGCGAGTTTGGCAGTGTTCAATGTAGTGTTCAACGTTGTGTTCAATGTAGTGTTTAATGTAGTGTTCAATGTGGTGTTCAATGAGTGTTCAATGTAGTGTTCAATGTAGTGCGCATTGTAGCGATGTGGCGCTTGGCCGCCGCGCTTAGCGCACACGCCTTGCACGCGAGGTTGTTTAAAGACAGCAGCTCATTCGGTTGACAGACGAAATCCTGCACCGCTGCGCGCCCCGCTCCCCCTTTTCAATGTTGTTGGCATTCGCAAAAGGTGGCGCAGGATTTCGGTCATTCCAACATGTTTGCAAACAAGAGCCCTTAAGATTTCAATGTTAAATGGGAAGCGCGAGGGGTTTTTCCCCATGAGAAAAACGGTGCAGGATTTCGTCCGTCAAGAGTAAGGATTTGTCACGTTAGCTCTGTCAGCAAATCGTTTTGTCCCATGGGCGGCTATGGACTGACCCGCCAACAACTCAAGCGCGACTCAGGGAAGTCGGACAACTTGCCAAGCAAACGTGGGCTCCAGCGCATAGAGGGAGAACACTGCATTCAGCGATGGGTCGAACGCTAGTCTTAGTGAACACTACATTGAACACTACATTGAACACTCATTGAACACTACATTGACCACTACATTGAACACTACATTGAACACTACCAAAATCGCGTAAAAACCAGCACTTTCTACAAACCAGCTGAATTTGGAAAGAAATTAAAACCTTTTTGGGTTTCTTTTACCTCAAAGAAGGAGCAAAGCTGAAAGTGCTGGTATTTGCGCGAGTTTGGCAGTGTTCAATGTAGTGTTCAATGTTGTGTTCAATGTAGTGTTCAATGTAGTGTTCAATGTGGTGTTCAATGTAGTGTTCAATGTGGTGTTCAATGAGTGTTCAATGTAGTGTTCAATGTAGTGCGCATTGTAGCGTTCAATGTGGCGCTTGCCGCCGCGCTTAGCGCACACGCCTTGCACGCGAGGGTTGTTTAAAAACAGCAGCTCATTCGTAAGGATTTGTCACGTTAGCTCTGCCAGCAAATCGTTTTGTCCCATGGGCGGCTATGGACTGACCAGCCAACAACTCAAGCGCGACTCAGGGAAGTCGGACAACTTGCCAAGCAAACATGGGCTCCAGCGCATAGAGGGAGAACACTACAATCAGCGATGGGTGGAACGCTAGTCTTAGTGAACACTACATTGGACACTACATTGAACACTCATTGAACACTACATTGAACACTACATTGAACACTACCAAAATCGCGTAAAAACCAGCACTTTCTACAAACCAGCTACATTTGGAAAGAAATTGAAACGTTTTTTGGTGTCTTTTACCTCAAAGAAGGAGCAAAGCTGAAAGTGCTGGTATTTGCGCGAGTTTGGCAGTGTTCAATGTAGTGTTCAATGTAGTGTTCAATGTAGTGTTCAATGTAGTGTTCAATGTAGTGTTCAATGTAGTGTTCAATGTAGTGTTCAATGAGTGTTCAGTGTAGTGTTCAATGTAGTGCGCATTGTTGCGTTCAATGTGGCGCTTAGCGCACACGCCTTGCACGCGAGGGTTGTTCAAAAACAGCAGCTCATTCGGTTGACAGACGAAATCCTGCACCGCCTCCGCCAACTGCATTCTGCCACTGAACAAGCTGCGCGCCCCGCTCCCCCTTTTCAATGTTGTTGGCATTCGCAAAAGGTGGTGCAGGATTTCGGTCATTCCAACATGTTTGCAAACAAGGGCCCTTAAGATTCCAATGTTAAATGGGGAGCGCGAGAAAAGCGGTGATTTCGTCCGTCAACAGTATGTCCGTCTCTAAGCATGACTCCTGCAATATGCCTTTCAACCCTTTTGCACCTCGACATCTGCTTGGATTAGCGACCATTTACTCCTATTGGATTTGCCACGCTTCGCTCTTCATCCCTTGTTAAACCTAAATAAACCAGGGCGCAGCGGGTTGACGTTGGTGCCCTTGTTCACCAGCACCTGCAGGCTCTTCAGGGCCTTCTGGCGCTTGGCCTCCTTCTGCAGGTCAGCCGCAATCTGCTGCAGCTCCATGACTCTCAAGCCATGAGATTCCAGCTGGAGCCGACGACGTCAGATGGGTGTGGGCTGTGGCGTCGTCGCAAAATTGGGGATTCGCACCACCCATTTCGGGCGGCTGTCTTTCTGGTGTCCCTTTAAACCAAGTTGCAGTGGGTAGTCTCCAAAAAGCACACATCCGAACGTCTGTGGCCCAGCAGGGGGGCGCAGGGGGCTTTTGGCGGGCTCCTGTTGCGAGTCTTTAGGCTGCATTAGCTTCACGACCTTCAGGCTACTGGGCAGAGCTGATACGCCCAGCTTGCTGAAGCCTTTGAGGCTCAACATCCCAGCCGCGCCGTGGAAAACCGAGCAAAAAGTTGAAGCGAAAAGGGGACCCTGCCTTGTTCGACCCTTGCCTGTTCGGGCTCATGAACCAAAAGTGAAACGCGGGTGGGCAAAACAGGGTCCCCATTAACCGATGGGCAAAAATTGAATTAGGCAAAAGGTACATTCCCGAGTCTGTGTGGGAAAGGACAGTGCTTTTCAAAGCATTGACCCTGTGCACTGAGCTGTAGCTCTCACAAATCCAGGGTAGTATCCTTGTGGACACCCGCTGGCACCGATTTTACATCGCTGCTCGCGTTCTTGATCGTGACCTGGCATAACAAATGGGTGTATCGTGTCGTCAAGGGACCCCCCAAAGGGATTTGATGTTCCTTTTGCTTTTTTTGGCACCAACCTCCCAAACTGGCCCCTCAAAAAACGACCAGCTACCCAAATCGCTCATCTTCAGCGCCACTCATCGCTCGCTCTCTCTCTCCCTCTCTCTTCCTGCCTCTCCCTCAATGGCCACATCGGAAGGAAACCTGAATTGCACATGGAAAAAGCGAATAGCGGAACCCCGAAAAATGTGTTGTTGATTATGGTGTAACCTTAAACCCACCACAAAAGGGCCGTTTGACATGATACTTCTGCTGCAAAAGGACCACGCCCGAAAGCCGAGCGGCGTCACCGGCCCTTCCACCACCAATTTCTTGCAATTGATCAAGGATGGTGCGCCATTGGGGATCATGGCATCCATTGCATCAACAAACCTGAGCCATGCGCCCTGTATCAATCTGCATCAAGGGCCCGCAATAAATGGAGGTTTCTCAAAATGGGATTCGGACCCTTGGAGATGGGGGCTGTTAGGGATACCGGCAGGGCTGTTTCATTTTTGGGGCTCTTTTGAGAAACCTCCGAATCAAGGCTCAAGCAGACTGCTTCACAGCCAAACTCCAAGCTCGCCGCTTGTACATACCGTCCTCAGGCCGCAGACGACATGTTGTGTCAGAATAGGGGATCCCTGTAACTAGTGGTTCTCCTTGTGGTGTCCCTTCAAACCAACCTGAAAAGGGTACCCTCAAACAAACACATTCATAAACGCACACGTTGCTGCAAGGGTGGCATGCGGCAAGCCCTCAAGTCAGTGCTGCCAAGTTGCTAGCTTCACGTTTGGCGGCACGCCCTCTCGCTTGGGGTCAAGCTCGATACGATAGTCCGGAGTCTGGAGGTAGGCGTCCGAGCGCAACGCAAAGAGGTCATTCGTGGTTTTCACCTCTAATTGCAAGCACCAGGCTCGGTGTGTTGCTTTGAGGCGAAGGGTACCCTTTTCGGCTTTTGTCAAGAGAAGCCAAAATGAAAGCCGTTGTGGCATGTTGGGAGGTCCCAAGCCAGGAAGAAAGCTTGAGGACTCCGACATTGGTTCGCAAATTTCTGGAAGAGTTCCCGCAGCTGGGTTTTTGCTGGATTGTCAAATTCAAACCAATTCGGGGTTCCCCAAATTTCCCCCTTTGAAGAAAACTCAGTTATGGCCCGTTTTAGGGGAGGTGACAAAAAACACACACTAGGGAATAGTAGGGTTTCCTTTGACCATCCCAAAGGCCTGGAAACCGGGAAAAACACGACAGGACATTGGATGTCCATCCACCAAAAACCCTTTGATGCCTTTCTTGGCTGACACTAACGAACAAACCGGACTGGTTTCTTCACCCTGATTCAGGTTCCCTCGCTTTTCGGGATTGATTATCTAAAAGGGGAGGTTGGACTTGCCGTTGGTCGGCATTTAAAGCAAACGAAAGAAGGGAGATCAACCACTTCTCAGCTTCCCTCCAGTTCGTGGTTTGGAGGTGTTCCGAAGCGGCGGGCTTCAAATCCAAATCCACACCACCAAGCAAAACCACCAATTAAGGAAAACCTGGGTTTGTCTTTTTTGAGGGACCCTCATTTTTGGTGCTTTGAAGGGAAACCAAAAGGAAAGCAACATCATTTATTGGCAACTTATTGGGGTTTCCCAAAATAGAAGAAGACACACCCACCTTCCGCCTTTCCGGGCGACGAGAACACACGAGAACTCGACGATCAATCCGCTTCGGGTCGCCGGGGCGAAGCGGGAGCGCGGTACCACCACCGCAGTGGCCCCCGGGAAGCAGGAGATGGCGGCACCCATGGCCGTCTCCAGCTGAACGACCTGCGAGTGGCTACCCTTTTTCGGTGTTCGTTGTTTGTGTCGCAAAAAAAAGGGAGTGGGGACCCCAGGGGAACAAAATCAAAATAATACCATGCTACTCCCAAAAGCTTGCAAGTCATATTGTGTGTTTCTGTGATTTATTATGGTTTTGTGGTGAATAGTTGGCTTGCTTGCAATATGGTAGAGGCGGCCACTCGAGCATTGGTGACATGCTTCAAACGTTGTGCTTTCAAGGGTACTCTTTTCGCCGAGTGAACGGAAACCAAAAGGAATTCGTCCAAATTGACACATACCCATATCCACTGGCAAGCTTAGCCACAACATCTTAAACGTGCGCCTAGACAAGAAGGGAACAATCAACCCTACATTGGCTGCGGCCAAAACCCATTTACTTTTGGTTCTACCAACATGGTTAAACAGGCTTCTATACGAAGTACTATAATCCCTATCATGCCAGGTAGTAGACCCACCTGCTAGAAGGGCCAGTGAAATCGGTTCTGAACAACAACAACTACATGTTGAAACATCCAGTCGCCTTGGTGGATTTCTTGTCGCGCGGATCCACCGTCTTCGAGTTCCTCAGGCATTTCACTCACAAAACTGGGCCCCTTTTAGAAAGACATCTTCAAAATTGCCTCTTTAGACAAGGTGAGAAAGTACCCTTCGTCTCCAAAACATAGCACACCCCTTTGGGCGAATCCCTTGATCAGGTTGTCTTGGTAACCCCCATTCCACAAAAATATACGGGTGTGGATGTTAATCGGGGAGCTGTAATCTTCAGAGTCTGCTTGACTTTTCGTTTATCTGGGTCTGATGGCCTTCCTGTTGACTTCCCTTTAGCCTACAACGGATACCCTCAAACAAACACACACTCATACTTTGTCTACCCCTCAACCCCTCATATCCCACTCCAAGTTGTACGAATTCTCCGAGCAGCTTCATCACGGGAAGCTCCAGAGCGCCGCCCTTGTCCTTGAACTGCTTGGCAAGCGCCTCCAGGTCAACCCAAAGGTTGTTGGTGTTGAAGAACCTGAGAACTCCCATGGCACTCAATTCTAAAACAAAGAAAACGAACTCAAGTGGTTGGTGCACAAGAATCTAAGCTACCCTTTTTTGTGGTGTGAAGGGAAACCAAAAGGCGACCATTTTGGGGCCTAAAAGAAAACGCAAACATTTCTCAGTTAAACGTCACACGAGGAGAATGATGTTTGAGAACCTCCAAGTTACCAAAGTTACCAATAGTGGACATCCTCCAGGGTGTCTAAATGAATGGGCCGAGGCAAATCCAAGCTGGGCTGGGAACGCGGTCCAGTTCCCGGCACAAATTCAGTCGAATAAACGGACCCAAAGAACCATAACTCAGCCGCACAAAGGACCCACAAATCAAAGGTTAGCCTGGGGCCATGACTAAATATGGACGACAAATCAGAAACTGAAAGGTCAAGAGGTCGCTTCGCTCTGGGCAAGTGACAAACAACCTCCATGCTGAGAAGGCACTTGTACTTGCCCACGTTCTGGAACTCCTGGCGCATTGGCCGGGTGGATGCAAACCGTTTGGCCCAAAAAAAACGGCCGGCTGCTAGCTAGGGAATATATCCCAAATACAAGGGATGGGGGAAGCCTGGGATAGGACGTTCCTCACTCTAGGGAACTCCAACGACCTTCACGGTCAAAGTTACGCGTTTCCCCAAGACACGGGCTACGCCCTGGTTGAACCTCCATAAACGGACCAAATCTGCCGAACCTCACATGAGTCACAATCAAAACCCGGTATTAAAACGGTCTACCCAAAACCCTGAAAATATGTCAAAAGCGGCCGCACCCATGTTATGGCTAAGATCGTCCCTTACTACCCTCCACTCAAACCGGTTCTGATTGAGACTCGCATGAAGTTCACCTGAAACTTTGGGAGTTGCTGCCGGAAACTGGCCGCACTACTTTTTGCATCATCAAAGTCACCCTCCAAAGTGGTGGGTTGAAGGGAAACAGCCCCCAGCTGTGATAACCCCCAGGAGCAGTCACAAGTTATGACCCCGGGAAGCACGAAGCTGCCTTCTCGTCTTCATCCGGGCACTGAGCGGTTTCTCGCAGCAGCAGGCCAGCAGTCCTCATAGCATCCCGTATCCATGAAGAACTCTCTTAAGCTGCTTAAGCCTGAAGGGTGATGTTTAACACGAAAGGAAATGTGGTCCTTTCGGATGCGACCTGATATGCAAGCGATCAGAACCCCTAAGGGTCAACGGGTCCCCTGAAAGTTCAGACCTGGCAAAAGCTTCTACAGGGCTGCTTTGTATTCCAGAGGCAAATGTCCAAGTTGCATCCAAGGGTGCTTGGCATCCTCTGCCAGGTGCCCTCCCTTCTTGTCAGCATCCTCAGTTCTGCAAATGCAGCTGCAATGGGCGGCTTCTCTTTGGTTTGCCTTCATACCGAACCTCAAAGAAAGAACAAACCAGGTGCAAGAATTCCCAAGGCAGAGTGAGCACAGGAGCAGTCCCTTCAATCCGACCAAGCGGCTGTTCGGGAGGCTACCTCCATCATGAAGGGAGACCCCGACTTGGCAAAATACGTGAGCAGCTGCAGATCCTAGCGCAAGTCTTCGGGAACCAACGACCGCACACAAATGCATGTTCCCATTTTCTTGCATTTTCCTGCAGGTCTCTTGTTGCTTGGAAAACCACCATTTTTGCAAATGGAAGGTTCGAGGCAGGGTCTGGCAGTTCCATTTCAACGAACCTCGCAAGCTGAGAGCCACGCCAGGGTGGCGCCGAGATTGTCGGAGTTGGAAACCTAGGTGTTGGCGCCTGGCCAAAACTCTCAGCTTCCCCCATTGGTGGCTTGTCGGTGGTGAGGTCTGCCTACTCAAATGCCCTCAACCAGAGCCAAGGATGTTTTTGCAACCCTAAACCAATGCCAAAATCATCCTTGCGCAAAACAACTAACAAAATTGCCATGCGAAACAAAGTTGACTTGACCAGGACCCCAAGAGAGGCAGCCTTTCCACCGTAGCCCCACTGCAAGATTTGGGTGTGTCGTTTTTGAGACGCCCTTGGGGTTGGCAAGGGAAGCCAAAAGGAAACTGCACAATTCTCCTGGGTTGGTAAGGGACGCCAAAGGAACCTACCCGAAGAAGGGTGGCCCCGCAATTCCCACTTGAGAGAAACACCCATTCTGATTTGAGGGTACACCTATCGTGGTTTCAAAGGACAACCGGGAGGTTCGAATTTCGAATCCAAAAAAAACACATTCTCCAAGCAGCAAACATGTACTTGATCCCCTTGGCCAAGAGCTTGTCCAGCGTCCCGCTGCCCAGCATGGCGGGGTACAGATCCCCGTGACCCGGGGGGCACCACTCCTGCCCAACCCGCGCCCATGAGACGTCAACACCCGAGCTAAACGGTTCGGGATTTCTCACCAGAAGCCATCAAACGTTCAGCAAAACCTGGCCCACTTCGGCGTGTCTTGATTTGAGGGTTCCCGTCTTGGTTGCTTTTAAGGGGAACCAAAAGGAAACCAACCAATTTGGGGGGTCCCATTGTCCTTCGAGGTTCAACTCGTTTTCCGCGGAGCTACCGTTTTTGGCCAAGCTGCGAGGTCTGGGGAGGACGGCCAGCTCGCCGGGGTCAGATCTGCTTCGGTGACCTTGGGCGCCTTGTTCTGCACGAACTCCAGGTCTGAGCCTCATGGCACCGAATCGTACCGGAAACCCCGGGGTGCTTTCTGGCCCGGCTCTTGCCGGATTTCTCCCTGTTTACACATCATTCAAACAAACAAAAAACATTCAGATTGGCCCCTTTCAGTTGACCAAAAGTGGAAGTATTGAGGGACCCTGTCCGCACTGGTCACGGAATCGGGGCTCGGACCTGTGCCCAGTTCAGGATATTTCGACAATGCGGCGAGAGTGTCATCCGAGGTGGAGAAGGAGTTCATCAGCATGAACTTGACCTAGGCATGGCTTACAAACGAAATGCCCAAGCTGCCAAGTTCGCCTTTGCCCAAAAAGAAAAATTAGGCAAGCCACATCGGTGCCGAAGCGTGTCTTCATATCCTGGGCATGTATGATGAAAGTATGAAAACCGATCCCACAAATGGCAGCTGCTCCTGTTGGTGTCCCTTCAAACCGAATCTTGCAAAGGGTACCAACGCCAACAAGAATCCTTTGGGGTGAGTGTGCAAATTTTGGGGGAGAATGGACCCCTTTTGTGGGTGCCCTCCAAAATCAAGCCCTTTCGGGACAACCAGATCGATGTCCTTCACCTGTTGAGCGATCAAGTCCAAGAAGGAGAGGCCCCCCGTGACGGGCAGAAGCGACTTGGCTTTCTCCAGGCCCATGCCAGTGCCCAGGCCGCCATTCAGCTTCAACACCACCTGAGCCAAAGAAAATGAATACTCCGAAAAGCGCAAAACAAAATGGGCAAAATGAAGGCCGAGAAAAAGAATGCAAAGCAAACATCCCGATGCACCAAATGCACCAATTAAAGCACCTGCGTTCTAAAGCCGCTCTAAGTGCGTGACTGTGCGGTTCAAAAGAGCTGGGTCTGTCTGAACATTCAAGGACTCGTAGGAAGGAAGCGAATCCACTGGGTTGATGGCACTCTCTGGAATCATCGTGCTTTCACCCGAGGTAAGCACAGAGAAGTTGTATTTGAAGGCAGCCATCGCTGCCTCGTTGAGTCCTTCCTTGCGCATTTTCTCTTCGTACTTGGGCCACAAGGCGGCCATCTTGGGGTTGCTGGCTTCCTTCTTGGCAGGCACCGAGGCTTTAACCGGCATTGCAGTCATGGGCATGGCAGTCATAGGTTTGTATGGCATGGCCGATGGCACTGACAGTCCAGGCGTTCGCCCGGACATGTTTGGTGTGGCGACCGAGGGCCGCAGCGGTGCACCATACAAAAACTGCCCCGTGCTTGGTGCTCCAGGCATGGCCTGGGCGCTTGGCACGGTCGACACACTCATCGGAGGCCGGGACCCAGGAGTGCTGACCAGCGGAGCCGGAATGGGACTTGGTGTCGACACCTTCTGATAGCCCTGTGGGGGTGCACCATAATGAGCAGTCAAACTGCCATCAGGGTGCTTGATGTAATAGTGCTGCATCACGCTCATTGCGCCTGTAAAGCCTAGAGGTACACTGAACAAGTTTGGGCCAAAACGGCACTGGCCGTCCTTTGGCTGATCTTCTTCGCATGCCGCGAGAACGTGTGGAATACAGGAGGGAGCGAGAGAGAGAGAGAGAGACAAAGAAAAACAAGAGCGAGAAAGAAAAAAACATACAAAGACCAAAAAAATACGAGAAGGAAGGAAGGAAGGAAGGAAGGAAGGAAGGAAGGAAGGAAGGAAGGAAGGAAGGAAGGAAGGAAGGAAGGAAGGAAGGAAAAGAAATGAAAGAACAGAAAAAGAAAGGTTGAAGAGAGAGGGAGACTGCAACATTACGCTCTTTGCTTTGCCCGCGCAATACAAGTCAATATGACTGCACTAACTGTTACTGCAAGTGTCGCTGCAAGCAACAGAAAGCGGTCTTTTCTATTCGCTTGCGCATTTCAAGAGCAAAGGTCCCGCCTCGCGGAGGGCATTTTAGCAGCGAGTTTCCGGCAAACTGATGTTTTGAAAAGCCTGCAGGGGTCGCTATCTTTGACAGTTCAGGATTGAAAAAGTATCAGGATGGTGCCCTTGCACACGAAAAGAGACTTAAGACCCATAGGCCAACGGCTTCGCCCCGGTTTTGGGGTTCAGCAAGTTGAAGCACACGAACATCGGAGCGCCCTCTGCAGGTGGCATGGCACATTGATCCCAGAAGCAAAGGCGAGTGCTTACCGCCGAGCACAGCTTGCCGCCTTCCATTGGAGTCGCCAACTTCGTGCCTCCCTTGATGCACAACTCTTTGAACTGCGCGGCAAACAAAGGACGGCCGTTGGCCGAAGGCGCGGTCACGCCGCAGCCCAGGCAGAAGATGTAGTAGATCCAGAAGGTGTCTCCAAAGCCGGTAGACCAATCGAAGAGCTGCTGCCCGCTCCATCCGTCGCCACCTGCGAGCTTCTTGTTGAAGCAGACGCAGATGGGCGAGCCCGGGGCTGGAGGGAGAGAGCACTGGTCCGTGATGCACAGGCACACGCGCATAGAGGAACAGAAAGGATCCCCAATGTCCGTCATTTCACATTTGGAGTGCAGGCAAATGTTCACAGCCTCTCCGCCAAAGAAGGGATTCCCCACGGCTCCAATGCCCACGCCTTCACAGAAGCAGTAGTTCAGCCACCAGAGCTCTGAGAACATCTTGTCCCGGTCCAGGTTGGGGGAGATGTCGGACTTGGCAATGTCAGGCATGATGAGTTGAAGAAGAGCGCTGAGCAAGAGTCAGAGATGCCTATGCTACTGTTTGAGCCACCTGCTCACCAGTGCATCATCACCATCATGGCGATCGTCAGCATCATCATCATCATCATCACCGTCATCGTGATCTTCCGTCATCGTCAGCATCATCGTGGTCATCGCATCAACGGCGTCATGACCCTTACCCCGTATCTGACACAGACTTCAACTGCGCCGTCTGGCAAAGCTCGGCGTGCAGGACGCTACGATGACAGTCGTCGTGGCATGGGTGATCATCAGCACCATCATCACTTTCACCATGCATCATCATCATCATCATCATCATCATCATCATCATCATCATCATCATCATCATCACCAGCATCATCATGATCCATCCTCTTTATTATCATGAACCATGATCATCATCACGCATCATCGTCATCCATCACCACGTGTGTTAGGCTACGACGATACTTGTCGTGGCACGGAGGGTGATTATATATCACCTTCGTCATCCATCATCGTCATCGTCCGTCATCATGATCACCATCAAACCCATGCATCATCGTCATCGTCCTCATCATCACCATCATCATCACCTGTCATCATCATCCATCATCAGCATCCTTCATGATCCTCCATCATCATCATCATCCATCTCGTGGCACGGAGGGTGATTATAAATCACCTTTGTCATCCATCATCGTCATCGTCCGTCATCATGATCACCATCAAACCCATGCGTCATCATCATCGTCCTCATCATCACCATCATCATCACCTGTCATCATCATCCATCATCAGCATCCTTCATGATCCTCCATCATCATCATCATCATCATCCATCTCGCTCATCCATCACCAGCATCCTTCGTACGCCTCCATCATCATCATCGCCGCATCGTTCTCATCACCCTCATCATCATCAATCGTAATGCACCGTCATCATCCATCCTCCTCAAGCAATCAATTTTCCTATTCCTTTCACCACCCTTTATTTGTTCAGATATGAAAAATCGCGGACAACGCTGCTCTTTTTCCTCCTAAGGCCTCAACAGGTTCACATAGGGATGGGAGGGCGGGCAAAAATTTCACTGCTGTTCAGTGCGTTGCAACAAAGGAGAACCCACCACACCCACCCGCTCGAGGAGAGTGGCAACGACGGCATCATTTATCATGCACAAATGACAAACCTCGTGTGGAAGAAACAAAGCAAGGCACACGGAAATTCACCAACAACTCCAACAACTCAGTGAATTCCCTTGCAAGGGAAAACAAAAAGGGGGCTCAGAAATAAAGACACATCCACCTTTGGTTGACGTTAGTCTTATTCCTTTCACCACCCTTTATTTGTTCATATATGAAAAAATCGCGGACAACGCTGCTCTTTTTCCTCCTAAGGCAAACACGGGGAAGCCCGGTTTGAAAAGACGACCCTGTCTAGCGACACCATCACCCCCTTGCCACTTTGCGAGCATGTCGTCCACAGAAAGCAGGCCAGTCGAATTCAACTTTCACACCAAGGCACTCTGATGAAACATCGCCCCTTGAGGGCAAGTCTGCTATATTCGAAGCAGTGTTCACCCGCTCATACCAGATTGACATGGAGTTGCTGTCTTCGCACTCGCAAGTCAAATCGATAATGACCTGTGCTTTCGCATTCTCACTGCCGCATTTCACAAAGGAACTCAGCGCGCCTTCGTTGTCTGTAAACACAATAACATTCCTTCCCTGAAGCTCCGCACACCACTGCTCCAAAGCCATAAGAATCACCAAGCACTCAAGTTCGAAGATCGGGTTTTTGCTTTCATCCGTGACCCACTGCAACACGCTCTCCTGCTTCATAATGCAACTGAAGAAAAAACACGAGCTCCTTTCTCAGGAACAAGCAGAACACCACCTAACCCAACAGGGAAAGCAGCACTTGATTCAAAAGATGCATCAACGAAGACGTGAACAGTGGAGTCAGCAAGCCTCTGCAAAAAACGAGGTCGTCCGAAATCAATTTTGTCGCGAAGCCATGTCAAAGCCGCCTTGCATTCCAGCAAAATGGCAGAGGATCGGCACCTGGAGATGTGGTGCCAAAGAATTCCCATTGCACGCACGGCCCTCCTGCCGTAAATCTGCGATTCAGCAAACAGCAGTCTGCCTCTCAAGCGCTGGCCATGTTTTTGGCTTAACAAGCCCGCTTGCAACACTTTATTGATTGCATCCACCAATTCTCTTTTTCTGGAATCAGTGTTTCCGAACTGAGCCTTGCCAAACTTTGCCTCATCCAGGTTGATGAGTAGACCCAACGCCTTAGCTTCCGGCCCAAAATCTTCCAGCTTGTCTTCCGACACCAGCCATCCCATCACCTTGTTAAAGGTCCCGCGCACTGCTCCTAGCCTCAAATCACCAATAACCGAGAACCAAAAGCCGACCGCGAGGCGCACTACCGGGTTGCTTGGGAAGGTAGCACTTTCCTAGGGCACTGCGGTGCACCTAGGACAAGGGGCGAGATATCCCCTCCTTCAGTGCTTCCCAACGCAACCCCGGAAAAAAGGCGATTGAGGCCAAGGCGCAAAGTCCCCCTCTTCAGTGTGGGGTTGCGCCTGCGGCGAAACGAAGCACAGGGAGAAACAATGCGAAAGCACTGCTTGTAATGCACTGCATTGGTTCGCCAATGCTTCACAGGAAACTGTTAAGAGACGCATGGCATGCATTCTCACAAATCTATTTTCCTGATGGGTTGAGTTTGGTCTCAAACTCTGCGCGCAGCCAGGTGTTCTGGCCACGAAGGCGCGCGTGTAGGGCGCAGCTTGGGTCCTATGCGGCTCTGTTAGGCGCTGCCATTCGGAGGGCAAAGGCGCGTAGCTGTGAAGAGGCGACTCTTGCCAGCTCTGAATCATGCAAGGGATGTTTTGCTACTTGTTACAAATTCCAGGCAGCGGCGGCCAGATGTTCTGGGCGCCATGGCGCTTCTGCTGGGCACAGTGCGACGCCTCTACCTGCCTGCGCAAGGCCTGCAGGGCTGAAGCGCGCGCGATCCGCAGGGCGGTTTGCGAAGCGAGCAAGGCGATTTCTGCTCAAATCATCCGCCCACTCATTGTAGCGCCCTGGAGCATGCGCCCAGGAGGCAACAAGCTGCACAAAAATTTGCAAAGGCCAAGATGTTGTGAACATTTTGTTAATGCCTGCTTCTGCTGCCGAGTTGCTGAGGGCATGCTAAACGAGTAGCGCCCGCCACCAATATGGCTGTGTGTGGCTTGAGCGCTAGTTGCGCTAGCGTCTCGAAGCAGGCGATGTAGCGCTGCGCAGGCTTGGTAAGGCTGGGCCACACCTGACGGACATCCTGCATAGTCCAGGTTTCCGCAAACCACATGTGAGGATGTAGCAGCCCATCCACCTATTCCCACTAGGTCTTCTTCAGCGCAGGCATCTGCGGCTGCCAGGGCTTGCAGCTGGGGCTGCTTTGCTAAAGGCGGTGTGGGAGAGCGCTTAAGGCACGATGCCAGCCATTCGAGGCAAATCTGGCTGGCCTTGGAGAGGGTGGCGAATGGGCCTGGAATGCGTGGGATGTTCTCAAGGCAGTGCACCGTGCAGCCTGCGATTTCCAAAATTTTGGACCCTGCAGAGATCCACAGGCTGGGAAGGCTGCTGCAGGTTTTATAAATCTTTATTTAAAGATTTCCGAAAGCGGCGCTCAAGCGCAACGCGACGCTGGTGGCCCAGATGAGCAGGCCAATGCGTTGCTCCAGCGTTTTGCGAGGCACCTTTCTTCTGCCGAGGAGGGTTGTGATGAAGGCCTCCAGCTTGACCAGCTTCATTAGTTGGATGGTATCGTGGGCGAAATTCATCTCCCATCCGCACCACACAAGGCAATCCTGGAATTGTGCTTTTTCAAGAGATTCGCGCGGCGATGGCAGAAAAATAGGGCCACTAGGGCGAACATTTCTGGCGCACGCGCACGGCTGCCACGCCAGCAAACCGTGGACTTGGCGCAGCAGGAAGGCTCCAGTGCGGTGCCACCAGTAGGCCGAAAAACGCCCGCCAAAGCGGCAAACCCTATAATGATAGAGCTTGTTTTTGAAGGCGAAAAGCAAAAGGCCGTGCTCATCCGGGGCGGACTTGAACCTGTTTGTGGGCGGCCTTGAAGTCAACGCTGGCTCCGATGAATGCCCCTGGTGTGTCCATCGGTTGGGTGGCTAGGGCTAGATCAGACGCCATTGGAAGGCTAAGGCGTTCCGGCAAGTAACATCTGGTATTCACCTGGCAAACCGCGCTGTCTAGCACAAGGGGTCTTTATTTTCAGCGAAGACTACATCTAATTTTCCTATGGTGACACCCAAAGGCCATTTACGCTGGGCTTCTGCTACCGTCAGGTCGGTAGCGACAACCCAATTATTAGAAATTTCTTTATCCAGAAGGCTTTGCACGACTTCGCGCGCCGTTTTGAAGTTGCGCACCAAATCTGGCGTTGCGGAGGTCTTTGGGGGCTTTGCCGGCCATTGGAGGCTACACGGTAGAGGGCTTCAGGCTCCGGCGGGTACTCCTTCTTGCCAGCTTGCTGAGCAAATGCAGTCGGTAGGGTTGTCCGTTTGCGGGGCTCAAGTTGGAAGCAACGGAACCTGCAAGGCCTCATAGGCGATTTGGACTGCTTCAGTTCATTCCTGCTCAGTTAAGGGCGAACTTGTTGTGGGACATGTGCTATTATCCGTGTCACCATGTCGCGCTGATGGAGCCAACGGAGCCAAGGCACGGCAACGGCTTGAAAGGGGTGATTTGGGTGCGGGCAACACCAGTCTGCTGATGAATGCATGCCCGTCACAGACAGGGAATCGGCAAGGCGCGAGGCTGGGCTGCGTTGGAATGGTGCTGCGCAGTTGCAGCGCACGCTTCACCACCCCTGTTTTGGACACTCTTCCTGCGCCCACGGACGCCAATTGGCGTTGCTGAGGAAGACCCCATTTTCGAGCAACGCTCGTGTGCTTTGCATCTGTGATTGCAGCGTGCCGAGAGGGCTTGAACGCGAGGGCTGTTGCAGCCAAAGCCGAAGGCGGCTGTTCCCAAACTCCAATGCCTCCTTTCGAAATT